AGTTTGTCATATTTTATGGGCCGGTTACGTCTGGCAGCGACCCCAGTCCTGGCCCCAGTAAAACAGTGTGCCCTGTTCCCTGCTCCCGGTTCCTGTTCCTGTGGCAGCCCCAAGTCGAGTGATATATATGACAGGCGGATTTTTGTTTTAGTGGCATGGGTGACAATCCCTTTAGAAACTTTTATTTATTCACGCATGCTGGCAAAATGTGCCTCTTACACGCAATTCAAGAAGAGCAAAGCGGTTAGTCCCTGTCCCCGAGACAAGGACAACGACAGAAACGGCAAAACAATGAGATAGCATGACCACTGGTCACATCGAACCATCGTACATCCGTACACGAACGGGTGGACGGGGTGAACGGGTGAACGGGGTGAACGGGTGAACGGGTGAACGGGTGACTGTGTAGTTAAGGTTTTGCATTATTAATTATTGTTAATTACCTGCACTTTTTACAGCTCCGGACAGGGAACATTCGCGTTTACAGGCCACGACACGTTGCACAACAAATCGACAGGTAAATATCGTAATTACAATGAGCATAAGACAAGCCTGATAAAGCCACTGCCACTGCCGCTCCACTCCAGTCCAAAAACAAGATCTGAACTGGTCTGGTCTATGCACTGAACGGTCCGTCGGTCCGTCGGTCCATCCGTCCATCTGTCTCTTGTCACATGCTATTTTTCTCATACACCGTCCATGTACTCCATGTACTCGTACTTCTTTTTATGTCTAATTGGTTGTTCTGGCAATAAAAAAGTCTGCAATAAAGGTCACCCAGGTATTTGATGTGATGCCGCATAAGAAATACATGAATGGAGCACACATACACGTTTATAGGATAATTAATACATAATGAAATCTTGCTTTCGGGGGTTCCACTATAAGGATCTTTTAAGGAGGATATTACTCGAGAAATGGCTGCTGTTTCAAACAATGGATATTACAGTGTTTCATTCACTTGTTTAACACAATTTTTGATTACTTAGATGATCTCTCAAGGAACTCTCCCATTCCCTGCCAAGGATGTAAATTGGTGCTAAAATAACGGACTGAACGATGGATGGCAGAAAACAAATCACATACCTACTTCAAGTAGTCAAAACAGTGTACTGCATGTGGGAAGACGTGTTGAAATGGTAGCTTTTCCACCTCTGCCCCATCTCGAGCTCGTACTCATACTCGTCCAGATGCACATCATGCGAGCATACAGGAGGCCCATGGCCCATGTCAAGCGGAGGCGGCGCCACCGATCGTAACCCTAACAAGAGAGTGAGCGAAGTGAAGTCCACTGTGGGGGCAGGGTAGGCATAACAATAGCGAAGAGAGCAGAGGCAATCAAGTACGCTCGTTGGACTCGTTGGACTCGTTGGTTGGGGAAAAATGGAAGAACGGACAGGTCAGGATTAATGGCTGTTGCCCCCGAGAAGAGGAGCTTGCCGCCAGGTGAGTGTCTCTGTGTCTGTGTCTGTGTGTGTATGTGTATGCATCACTGTGGCAGCATGTAGTTGTATATGAGCAGATGCCTTAATAGATGCAGATGCTCCACCATGGGGCTAACAAGTTGGCTCAATCAATGGCAATACGAGTACCCCAGGAAATGGCGCGACTGTAATTATTGAGAATGTGAAAGTGATTCAGACTTGAAGACAAGCCGCTGCGCTCTTTCCGCTGTAGTTGGGAATACGTTCCGATTGATTTTCACATTATTGAATCATAGAAGTATTCAGTCGACACTCAGTCAGATTATATGTAATCTTATGCAACCCATATAAAGCAGACCGCCACCTCTCAAAACTTTTCTAGCACTTGTCATGGGAGATGGAAAAAGCATGGACCGATTAGAATTTTAGAAGATTTTATGGGTTCCTATATCTCTTGGCTTTCCCTTAAATCGTTCCCAATCAACAGAGGCTAAGCTTCAAAGTTTCTTTCTTCACTATTTAGTTGGGATTGCATATATCACATCCCAACACTGGTCCGAAAAGGATACCATACCTGTTTATCGAGTGTGTGTGCCCAGTGACACATTCAGTTGGCTTAATTGACTGAATTATTTATGAGATGCGCCAGAGGACATGGGATCAGCAGCAGGACTCAGGACTGTCCCAGGGACAGGACTACACCATGGACACCCCAAGAAAAGGGTTGACATATGGTTGTGCCAAATCACGGTGGTACGAGTGGTCAAGCACGGGCATGGGCATGGGTTTGGATTCGCATCGCTTCAGCCATGAAATATTCAGGAAGTCAATTTACCATAACGGAATGTTTCCTTGCAGCACCTTCTTGGGTTTACTTGCAGCCTGCTCCACGGATTGATTTGCGAGTCAGCCAGTGTAGTGAGAGACCATTAATTAAATGTAAGTTTCCTGGGAGATGGAACATCAGAATCGTTTGTCACGGGTGCCCAGAGAGTTCGCATCTATGCTATGGCTAATATGTTCCAGGACGGTGCTCGAAGGCCAAAACGCTGCCCGGCAGACATCCGGCCCAGAGACTAAGCCCCAATACAAGGCGACTCCAATCGCACATTTATGCTACACGCTACCCCGACCCGACCCTACCGACCCGACGCTCGTTTTGGGGCATGGGCATGGGCATGGCACCGCGGATCGCGTCCTCGGCAGGGAAAAATAAATTACTTTAAACGTTTTCGAATAGCAAATTGCAGATTGTCATTTCAAAAGACATACCTTGCCACACATATCAGTGTCAATGACTGGCGGGGACCTGGCGATGTGAATGAGGACGGAGGACGGAGGATGGAGGATGGAGGATGGGTATGGGGTCCCGGAATTGGAATGGAGATTGAGGGACTGGACTGCAAACTGAGGACCGGACACTGGGCCAGGCTCTGGCCTGAACTTAAAATGACGAATGACCACAAGACAAGAGAGCAGCAGAGTGAATCGGGATCAGAAGATGTGAACGGCCAGAATGGCAATAATACGATGCGAGTACGAAACGATAGCCTGGAAATGGCAAATGGTAAATGGCAAACGGCGATTCTCGGGAATTGAGATTGGGTTGAATTTTTATAATTGAGTTGAGCAGAATTTTAATCTCTTCTTTTGTTCTCCTGGTAGGTTCTTCGGTCCCCAAGGAGGAGATGGAGATGGAGCGCTGTACGCAGATAGGAAGGAAGTACGGAAGCAAATAAGTAAATGTGGATTTGTAAGGTCTTAATTGTAATGTTTATACCTACAAATGGAATCATTGGAATACCTGGACTATCCCATAAGAAACAACGCTGAGATTATGTGAAATATTCTTCTATTTGTAATAGCTTCGGATAACTCTATCAATATGTACTTATAGTACTCTTTTATGGTCCCTGTATGTGCTATATGTACATCTGTATAGGCCACACAGACTTAAGAAGCAATAGATGATGGATGGCAGCACTATATCATGAGCAAGTACAAGTACTAGGAGTATTTCCAAAGTTTTTGCAGTGTAATCGGTTGTAGTTGGTACGGTAAGGTTCGGCCGCCAACCATTTGCTTTTGGGTACAGTAAACTACCGGTATTGCTCTGAATTATTGACATCTGGTCCCATGCCACCAATCTCCTGACAGATTATGAGCACTTTGGGTGTTGTTGCTGCTGTTGAGGCAACCTTCTATTACGACGACTACACGGCAAAGGAATGTACGAGTGTATCTGTGCAAGTATCTACCCATAATGCAAGTGCAGACAAGTTCAGCCCCAACTTTAGCCCCAGCCAAATGCAATTTCACTGTCTGACCATCGATCCCTTCTGTCCAAAGCCGCATGAGGTGCACTATACCAATATGGAAGTTTTAGTTGACGTCGTCGTTACTGCTGCCTGCTGCTGCTGCCTGCTGCTGCTGCCTGCTGCCATCGTCAATCGTTGGAGCTGGAGAAGGAGAAGGAGGCTGCCGCTGCCGCTGCCGCTGCCGCTGCCGCTGCCGCTGCCATCGTATCAAGAGCGTGTAGCAAAATTCGTGCCGTGACCGCCCCTTTCAATTCTGTATTATCAGATTAGCTCTTTTCATAAGCTATTTGTTGTTGCTGTGTTGCAGTTGAAGCTCCAGCTTTTTTTTTTTTTTTTCTTTTGCTTTTTGCTCCTGCCTCAGTAATGCTATTGACCGCTAGCATTAAGTTACGATCGAGAGCTGGCTTAGGCATAGGCATAGACATGGCCAAAGATGCTCTACGATGATGACACTCCGATGCTCTCCGGCTGCTGGCCAGAACACATTGGGGGCTGTTCAAGAGAGTTGGGTTAACGTTCACTTCGTACCATACGACAGGTGCACTTAAAGAAACCCAAATAAAAAAAAAAACACAAAAAAAAAAGAGAAACATATAAGCAAATAAGAAAACAAATCGATGCCTGAAAAACGTTATCCCATAAAAGAACAGACTCTCGTGATGTACGGAGATATTTCCGTCATAAGGTCAACTATCTGCTGTACAAATCAGTGGGGCAAATTGTAGTCGGAGCTGGAGCCATAAAGAAGCTCTCTGTCCACCAAAAATCATCGAAAATGGGGTTGTCGAGAGAGTTTTTCCTGTGGCATGTGGAGGGTCATGGGGTTCTTGCACACTGGCTGCAAATGTTTTCTAATTGATAAGAATTGAGAGTACAGTATGTGGAAGGTAGCTCCATGAAAATATGAAATATTTCACACGTTTTTTTTATCAGATTTAGGACTTGCTTAGATGTCCATACTGTATTTCCTAATCAAAAACAAAAATCACTTTACTTTCTTGTCCTTTGAACATACTTTATTCTAAACGTTTTTCTTTTTTTTTCAAATATATTTAATGATAAATGTAGATGTATGTATTATTAGGTCAAACTTATGATCTATATATTTTATAGTTGTAAAAAAAAGAAGCATTAAATACTGTTTCACTGTAGCTCCAAATTGGGGACTTTTAAAAAGAGGAATACTGTTTGACTGTAGTTCCTAATTGTTCCCGTATATTGTAAATGGGATCTACTATACAGGGAAGTTGTTGTTTAGTCATTGATGTTTCTGCTGCTGTTGCGTTCTACGCCAGGGGGAAAGCTTGAGAGTTGGTGTCAATCGAAGGCATTAATTGGATATATATTGTAGGATATTCTCCCTGCGTCTAACGCCACAAGCATTCAATGGGTTGTCGCATCCACTTGTCGGCATAAGTACTTGGATATTGCTCCGGCTGCAACTGATGATGTTGCTGTTGCTGTTGCTGTTGCAAGTAATAATTGTGTTGCCGCTGTTGTTGCTGGTGATGTCGCTGATAGTAATTGCTGTTACCAGGTCGATGATGATGATGATGATGCTGCTGCTGCTGCTGCTGCTGATGGAAGTGCGATGATAGCGTCGTCTGCTGTCGATGCGCCTGCTGTGCCTGGGCCTGGGCCTGAGCCTGGGCCTGAGCCTGGGCCTGAGCCTGGGCCTGGGCCTGAGCCTGGGCCAGTGCCGCTGCTGCAGTTGCCGTTGCCTGATGGTAGTTCTGCATCATGATCGTATGATGCTGCTGCTGCCGTGCCGTGTCTGCAATGGGGAAATAGGCGGCATGCGGCTTGAACATGGAGTGGGCATAGAGCTGCATCTGCTGCTGGTAGGGATGAGCCGCCTTGGAGCGTCCTAGTAGATGCTGGCCGGCTGAGGCTGTGTGGCTGCGTCGCAGGCGACCCGTAGTCTCGCCAATGGTCAGATCCTCGGCATAGGGATCCAGTGCCCAGTAGTGGCCCCGTCCGGGATCGTCCAGGGCACGCGGCACCCGCACAAAGCACGGATTCAGGCTGAGGTTGTGCCGGATGGAGTTCTGCCAGACGCTCTTGTGGTTCTGGTAGTAGGCAAAGCTGTCGGCTATCCACTTACAGATCCCACTGAGGGTCAGTCGCTTCTCTGGGCTGCTGCGGATGGCCATCACGATGAGGGCGCTGTAGGTGAAGGCCGGCTTGCTGGCGTCCTTGTCACCGCCTATTGTGGGGCTGGTGGTGACACTGCCGCTGGACGAGTGCGAGTTCGAGTGGGTGTGGCTCTCATCGGAGGAGGCCTCCTCGGAGCTGTTGCACGAATGACTGGGGCTGGACGGCTGGAGGCAGTACTCCTCGCCCTTCTCCGAGAGCAGCGAGCGGATGGAGAAGCTGGACTGGAACACTTGTGGTCTTGTGGTCGTATCCATTTCGATGTGTCACTTGTCAGGATCGTCGTTGAACTGTGAGAGATTCGGCTCGACTGTAGCCTATATATATCTATATATGCCGACCCGAATCGCCATAGTTCGGGTCTAGGAAAAGCTGGGGGGATTACGGGTATATCCTGTGTGGCACAGATCTGCACAGATCTCACCTTTAATCGCCATGCAGGGCGCAGATCAATGAAAGCCATGGGATTCATTCATTGATCCACAATCTCCTTCGTTTCGTGGATTAACATTCTGGCCGAGCGCTTTCTAAATTGGATTAATTCTACCTGCTCCTCATCTGCATCCTCATCCCAATCCCAATCCCATCCTCCTCCCACCCGAACTCCCATCCTCTTTTGTGCCTGCCCAGATTTGCGCTGGCTCTCAATCCAGTTTCGTTAATCAACCCTCGCAAATATTTGTAAATTGTTCGCGCTTATACAACCCAATTACTCGGAGGAATATACAACGATCCGTGTTGAAATAAGAGAACTCCTAGGATCCTAAGTCAATCATAAGTTAAGAATTTACAATCATAAAGATTATTGCATATTTTCAATTCGGAATGAAATTTCTATGTTAATTTTTATGTAAAATATCTTGAAAGGGATTTGTTTAGATGTTTGGATTAGAATTAAAAATAAAATTTCATTGGAATGATATTTATTTAGTGAGATTTCATGATTTTTCACTCCTGTACTTTGATATGATTCGATTCTTTGGCAGGTTATAGATGAGGAATATCGTATTACAATCACCCACAAATTCCTTAATTTTAACTACTATCGAATACATATAGAAATCGCATCTGTGATTGACAAATTCCCATTTACATGGAAGGGACTTACGTTTTCAGCTCGGGGGATATTCCCAAAATGATTATTTTGCATGTCTTCTGGGCGGTGTGTGGGTGGGTCTGAGAGGCTTGTGCCCATAACAATCTAAACTAACGCTAAATATCGAGAATGTTTATCAAGGCCTGAGGCCGGGGCCGGGGCTGGGGCCGGGGCTGGGGCTTGAGTCGTCTGGGGACTGGGGTTTTTCGGATAGATACGAAAGTGTCCGTGGTCGCAGCAATATTTACGATGCGATTCAACGGTTGCGGTGGTAGACGTACTACGAGTAGACCCCGCTCTAACTAACAAATTAGTTGCAGTTGGCAGAAGTACATTATCAGTTTTTGACTGCCAACATTGCCACACCATGCCACGGCAGCCATACCCGTACCATGCCCCTGCCCCTGCCCCAGCCCCAGCCCCAGCACCAGACACAGTCACGCCCACCCCATAGGATTCAGTTTTGTTGCGACTGCATTTGCCCTGGGATCCTCCGCCCCACCCATCACCACGTGTGTGTGCTTGTGTGTGTAGCCTCCCGTACATGCCACCCGAATGCACATAGATACACCAAGCTCCATATCTATCCATCCATCTATCCGTAACGTACGTGTACGTGTGTGCCACCGACCGACCGACATTTACCTGCGCCGTAAGCCCAGGCGCTGGACTCCCTCCTGGCTCTATGTACGAGAGCCATTTACATGCATCCATCCGTCCATCCATCCATGTGGAAGAACCTGCCACATCGGCACCCCATTGTGTACATGGATGGGTCTTTGCTGGCTTCGACCTGCCTGCCACTGATGGGTGCACAAGCGATGGGTGGAAGTACGAGTATCGTTGTTCCAAAAATACAACAAGCTTGTGATTCCAATTACTGGCAGCATTATGGGGCCAAATGTCCTCTAAACCGAGAGACTGATATTCCAATTAGCAGCTAAACAAATATCCTTCCACTAGCCAATAGCGCACTAAAGCTGCAGCCTTTCGAATATATTTGTATTAAAGACTATCAAACAGTTCCAGATATTGCACTAGGAACATATTCCATTTAAATACTCGTTCGCCAAAGTCTGTGTATTTTGTTGTTGGATTCTGGGACCAACTCAGCGACGAAGGATAGCCGAAGGGAGCACCAGGAAAGAGCACCACGAATCCAAGGAAATACATATTATAAGACGAAATCGTATTTGATCTAAACATATTTTATATTCCAATTAATTTATACTCCAAAAATTAAATGAAATATATTGATTTTAACATAGAACTATGTTTTCATATAAAAAACCGAATACGAGTATTTAATTAAAACATTGGTGAGTTCGGCTTTGTCATTTATCTCTGAGTGTTGTATGCTCTTTTGGCACTTGAACGACTCTGAAACAAATGGCCAAAATCGGCTCTCGGGCTGGGGAAATGAATAACCTTTCATGATTAAATGCAGTTGTTATAACACTGTCTGGGAACACTGACAGCGAATCCTTTAAGAGAGACAAGAGAGATATATTGCTGCGTGAGGAGGCATCAATAATTGTGACAATTTCTCACTCCCCATGAGATGCCCCCATGGAACCCCATGGAACTAGGCGATTAATCAAATATTATATTGTAAAAGCTCTCAATATGACAAAAGTGGAATTAATGATATACTTGAATACCGATTCCGAAAAATCCTACCAAAAAAAAAAAAAACTAACAAGGGAAGAAGAAGGCAAAAAGGCATAAAGGAAAATGAAACCGAACGAAGTTGAAGTCTGAAAACAACAAATCATCAATTGACAAATCGATGCGCATCACTAAAAACTCATTATTACAATAACAGGACGCAGCAGCAGATCTTAGCCAGAAAAGACGGAGACGGAGAGCCCAGGAAAGGGCCAGCCAGTTGCCAGTTGCCAGTTGGCAGTTTCTTTATGGAATTTTCTCCCCTCCTGTTGGCCAGGGCAATGGTAACACAGCATCAACATAACCATCATCATGTCTGTCCCTCCATCTGTCTGTCAGTCCATCTGTCTGTCTGTCTGTCCGTTTGTCTTTCTGCTGGACTCACCCACCTCCATGCAGGGCATGAGGCATGAGGCATGGGGCATGAGGCAGTCAACGTTAACGCTGGGGTCTCAAAATCGTCGCATTCGTCATCGTCATATCAGCCGCTCATCTTGTAGTTGAGTGCGAGAACAGTGGTCATTATCTGTTCAGATTTTGTTGCCCTGTGTTGGACACAAAGGGCAGGCGGATACTCAGATACTCGGATACTACCTACTACATGGATATACCATATATATATGTATATGGGATCTATATATGTGTGGCTCTCTGTGCGACAACGGTGGAGAAACAATTTTGTAGTCCACTGCAATCATTGCCAGGATCAGGGCTCAGAGCGAAGAGTGGTCTGTGGACTGTGGACTGTGGACTGTCGAGTAGTGTAGTGTAGAGTGAAGTGGAGTGCAGTGGTGTGTGGTGTGGTGTGGTGTGGTGTGGTGTGTGGAGAGGCAAACTTAAATCCACTTTGCCTCATTCGTAATTTACCAGGTTAATGGCAAAAGGAGGGAACCCAAAACCGAAACAAGCTAAAGGCGACAGCCCCGGTCCCAGTACCGTCCAAAACGATGGCGAAAAACGAACGAAAAAAAAAAAAAAGAACGGCCAGGCGAAAAGAGGGAAGAGAAGAGGCTAACCAAACTAGACTGAACAATGGTTGGTCTCTAATCCATTCGATAAAAATGGCCCCAGCCTCGGACAGCTCATCTCAACTCATCTTAACTCGGTCTCCAGGTCCGTCCAGAGAATGTCCGAGTGCCGCCTGCCGCCTGCCGCCTGCCTGTTTGGGCTGGACTCGACTGTTGGCCTGTCCATCCATCTATCCATCGAGGGAGCAGGCGACCAAAAGACACATACGGCAACCAGCAACCAGCAAGAGGTAGAGCCAACAGCCAAGAGCCACAGCCACAGCCACAGCCTCAGCCAGTGTCAGAGTCGCAGTCGCAGTCCAAGTCAGAGCCACATATACATACATTATTCCAATTCTGATGGTCATCATCTTTATCATTAACTTTTTGCCATCGAAGATTATGCCCAGTCGCAGTCCCCAGTCCCCAGTCCCCAGTCGTGCCCTGTGCCCTGTCTGTGGTGTCCATGTGAGCGACAATGGCGCAGAGTGAATTAAAAATACAAAAATGAAAATAAATCATCATCAGAGACGCATGTCAAATTCATCTCTCGACTGCGTGTGTGTTGGATGGGGATGGCGGGATTGGGGGATTGGGGGATTGGGGGGGGACACAGACTGTGAGACCCTGCCTGAGATTGAGATTGAGGCGAAGACGAGCCAGAGACGTCTCCCCGGCCATGGTTGTTGAACAATGTCATTGGAAATGTAACATGATGAAAATAATTAAGGCGCTTGCTCAGGGCCAGGGCCCAGGAATGTGACCCACGAGTGCGGTCCAAATGCGATTTACATATCGCCATTCTCGTGGCTAATCGGTGAAAAACCCAACAGGGATGCATCGCACGATAATTCGATTACGATTGAAATTCAACGAGAAAGAAGTGGGAGGGATTTACCTGAAGATATGTATATATATACCTGAAGGGTAGGTACTTTTCCTACCGCTGAACGAATATTTTTAATGAATTTTAAGAGATATTATTGAATATTTGGTTCAACTAAAATCAAAGAAATATTTGATATTTACTAATCTTAGAAATACTTGTAACTTTATTTATAAGCTTTTATACATATATGTATGGATTGGGCAAATAAATTAAAAGTCAATAAATTATTAGAAATTATTTTCTAAAAATATTGATTCTCCATTGGCAAATAATTTCATTAACTGATCTGAAAACCTTTTAAAATAAGCAAAAGTTTACTTTTTCGGTATTGTTGATTTTTTGTATACTTTTCTGGTATATTTTTCCGATTTTAATATGAAAACCTATCATAAAGGATTGTCACAATAAAAGGTCTCACCTGTTTTCAAATGTGTGCTAAAATGTTTTATAAAATACTAAAGAAAGGAGCTGCAATTAATCCCTGCATGAATCCACAGAAAAATAGTTTTGCAAGAAGCAGAAAATGATTTATACCTTTAAGGTAGATTTAATATAAGCCAATTCCTATGATAGATACGACTAACCATTTAGAACCCA